CCCAGGGGCCAGACAGCCCCTTGGAGTAGAAAAGGCTGGACTCTCCATCCGAGCTCTGTCTACAATATGAGGGGAGGGTGTTTTAACAGGGAGTCAACATATGGACAACAGGGGAAAAAAACACTCAAAAAAAATAAAAGCCATTGGAGTTTCTTGTTCATATAAGAACAATCACAACAACTTCTTGAACTTGTTAAGACAAGTGAACAGATATGATGTAGAGGGGGAGAGAGAAGAGGGGAAAGAGGAATGGGTAAAGGGATACGAAAATCAACTACAATGTATGTTGAGAAGTTAAAATAAAAAAAAAGAAGTTACAGAATAAACAATTTTTAAATGAGTTTCTAAGGATGGTGGATACCTGGAACCTAGTGTTACAATAAAAAGAATGTGTCACATCGCTGAAAAACAGAAAGGGATGAGGAGAGAATGAACAGGAGCAAAAGTTCTGTGCTGCGCCAGCTGTGGGCAGTGCCAATTTTATGTTCTTTTTGTGAGGGTTAAAAGAGATCATGTCCACAAAATACTTGGCATGGTGCCTGCCACATCATAAGCTAAGTAAATGTTAATATTATCATGGATAGTAAGCGTTTGGAGAATAAACAATCTCTTTATTGAGAAAAGAGAAGTCAAGCAACATCCAAATGTCACAAGAGGCTTAGGATCGTTTGAAATTTTATTTCTGAAAGATTTAAAGTAAATAATTGGTCATTTTGTAATGAAATGCTTTCTTTTCAAAAGAGTTTATTTTGGAGCATGCCATGTATTATTTGCTCAGCACAGTAAGAATATTAGATGGCCTGGCTTCCCACATGTGGCTGCTAATCCAACACCAGAGACTGGCCTAAGGCACAGTGATAGCTCATTGGCAGACCACAGGTGTATTCAGTGTTTCATTTGTCCACCATGGTATTTAAAGACATAACTATGCCTATATGCCTTTAGAGATGATATGTGCTCTCCAGGTTACCCCAAACCCTGCCATTCCTTATTGTCTCCAGACGACAATGAATTTGTGCTACCTGCCTGGCTGCAGAACTCATTTGAATTTGCACCTTCTCATTTACATATTTGCATTAAGTCCCACATACTTATTGTATTACCACAAGAGGGGCAGGGTAACCCTAGCACATTTCTTAATGCACTGTCACATCGAAATATGCCCATAGGGTCTAGAAGGAGAGGATAGCTAGTCCCACCCAATTGCACACCAGTGAGCTATCTCTGGAGAATCTGCTCATTACAGGGAGTCCTTCCTCAAGAAAGAATTAGATAAACTAGACTGTATCTGGATCACATTTGCAAGGATTTAGGAAATGAGGAGGGCATTCAAATTCTATAGTAATAAGGAATCAATAATAGAATTAGGATTGGTTATTGTGGAAATGAGAAGTTTCAAGTATTTGATAGTAGGTTTTAAGTATTTGAAGGGGACTTGAGCCTTGGGGCTGTCCTGGAATGACCTCTAATGTTCCTCTCAGTTTTGAGAAGGACTCTCATAATCAATCTTGGAATAGGGACACAGAGAGGGTTCCTTTTCGAAAACGTTCATGTGCACATTAAAGTGCTCCACGGCCAATCATTCTGATTCCCCTGGGGGTTTTCTTGACTTGTGTTTTCTCTTCAGAAGTCTATTCTCCCAGAAGTAACAAGATGTCAATAGATTCTACACTCTAAATCTTCCTCCCAAGACTACGGAGCATAAAATCCCAGGGGAATTGGAGAAGCACAAGTCAGCTGCAGTGCTAACTGGTTCAGCAGCAAAAAGCACAGATAACAATTGAGATCTTGCTTCTTACACCATTTGCTTACCATTTGCTTTTTTTTTTTTTTT